ATTTGGGTTGCCATCCTATCGAAATGCTGGGATAGAACTTGGCGTTGAGCGTCAAAAACTTTATCGTCCGTTGACGACTTTTGAGAATATTCTCCCTTCAAGAAAAGTAATACGTCTGCTGGTTGCAGCATGCCGAATGGCCTAATAAGGGATACTGTAACCAGGGGGTTTAGTCGAATTCATACGACTCATAGCTGTAGTGATTACTTGGTTATGTCTTTGATCGCACAAAAATCAATGTGGGGAAAGCTGAAGCAATATTTGATGAGGCGAAAGCTAAGCATCAGAGGCGAAGGCAACTCAGGGACAAAGGAGCCTTCATTGGTCGACCAACCATTTCTCAAAACCTAGTCCTATGGCTCACTTGCAACCCGTAGGTCACGAAACGAACTCGGGAAGTTATAAGCTCACACTTCTTATATGGGATGTTAACAAGCCCACAGCTAAAGAAGGAGTCGGTGACATTGAAGAGATCATTGCTCGCATTCGTACGGCGGAAAGCCAGGTAGTCAAACGGAAATCGGGTGTGCGCGACGACGATGACGACCCTGAGGATCGAGGATGCCGAGTATTGTCGGCTGTTGTGAAAGCGTTCAGAGTGGGTTCACGCACTTATCCAAGCAGGGCACAGGAATTGCTCGAAGCAACGGAGAAAACGATCTCCAATGGTATAGACAAACTATATTACAAAATTGGACGTCACGATCCCCACCTACCAAGCTTTGCACATGATCAGAATAATATCGTCTGGCTCGCTGGATCCAAAGAGGCTAGTGGTAGCTACCGAGTAATAAGCAATCTGTCTGGGTCATAGTTTACGACAAAGCTAATCCACTCACGTAGTTTGGTGTCCCTAGTTTCATGTATCCGTTCTTGTTAAAGATGGGTGGCGACCCTGCGCGCCTTGAAGCCGCCAAACGGCCAGCCTACCAGCCATCCCACAAACCGTCCCAAAGGACCACTCCCCTGGCTTCATTCCTCCCACTCTCAACGTGGTCCCAAGATAACGCCTTGCAGTACACCAATCCAGATTTGCGCGCAGTTCGTCAAGCACGCACCGAGATTACTTGCCGCGAAGTATCTGGTGCATGGGGTCAACTCGAGCTATCACCCCACTACATTGCAGTGTTTGGACAAACAGGGTGCAAGGACGCAGATACACAAGTGTTCGGACTTGAGTCGGAGGGCGAGCCGTTTGCTCTTGAGTCGGGGTTCAACCACACCACCAAACACGTCGCATTCGATGCCGGAGGAATGTTATGGATGGGAGGTGGCGGACGTGATAAGCGCATCAAAGCTTTTGATCTCACCAACGCCCAACCCGTTCTCATTCATACTCTTCAGGCCCAAAAA